GAAAACGAAACGGAGCAAGAGGAGGAACATGAAAGTGAGCAAACACGCAAATCTCGTGAAATTGCGGTACAAACTAGTATCGATGCTTTTGAGTTGAAACCATTGACACCGTTAGTGAAAAATGTCGGTACTGCCACTACATCGAGTACGAGCAGTCGACGTTTCTCGCGATACCGACAACGTCATTCCGCATTCCGCTACGACTATGAGGATAAGACTTTCTCGACTCTATCAAATACGGATGACGATACGGACGATAAGCAATGTATGTACTTGTATTTTGTTGTGTTGCTTGAAATTAACACTTTTACATTCATATCTATGTATGTATATAAATATGTATTTAATTTTATAAATGTTTACACTTTTTCCCTCATCAGTCGGCAGCTCTTGCACGGAGAATGGACAAGTATGTGCCGGACTTCCGCATTCGATTTGCTCACACAATATATGCTTCTGTCGCTCGGGATACTATCCAAGTAATGGGAAATGTTTTGCGGGTGAGTTAGTACTTGGAGGCAAANCACGGAGAATGGACAAGTATGTGCCGGACTTCCGCATTCGATTTGCTCACACAATATATGCTTCTGTCGCTCGGGATACTATCCAAGTAATGGGAAATGTTTTGCGGGTGAGTTAGAACTTGGAGAAAAAAAAAAAAATGAAAATGCAATCATCCTTTCATTTTGCAGAGCTTGGAGAGATAGCGGAGAGTGCCAACGAATGTGAGCATACATTCGAAACATCGTCAAAAAAATGTATTTGCCAAACTAGCTACTTCTACGAACGTAATTTACGCTCATGTAGAAAACGTAAGTATGCAGTCCACCTTAAAAGGACAAAATTTTAATTCCAAAAAATTTCGAAAATTGGTTTCGAAGAAATGTGAAACCTTTCACGGCCCCTGGTGGAAGTTTTAAGGAAAAAAGAAAAAGATAAATGCAGAAATGGATTCCCCATGCCAAAAACACCTTATGGCATGCTATTATACAAAATTTAAGCACTTTACGACCCTACAGCAAAATTCTAAGAAACCTATTTTCGAAATTTGGAAAACCCCATATTGATTTTAGACCTATATTAGACGGCAAATTTGCTTAGAATTAAACGTTGAATCCTTCTGTACTATACGCGCATTGTCGAATAGACCTCCCATACAAATTGAACGGCCATAATGTACATACATATCGTCCCGTTGCTGCCTTAACCTCGTATCTGCAATAGAGGTATTTTAGAGAGTGTAAGAAAAAATGCATAATTTCTTACCCTATGATACAATAAACGCATTTTTTACTTAATATTTCTGGTTCCACTAACAGTAGTGAACACCCTCATTAAGTCTTTGTTCTATTTTCAAATAGTGTGAAGCTTAAACAGCTGTTATAAGTGGTAATATTAGTTTTCCCAAAAATTGTAGATACGTGGTTAAGGCAGAAACGGGACGATATGCCCAATTTATTCCATTATGTTGATTTATTTATTGGTTATGGAAAAATACTAAATATAGTTTAAAGAACAAGTAATTTTTAAACAAAAAAATCAACCGAAAAAATTTAGGAGTACCGTTAATTTCCTCATAACCAAATGGTCTCAAGATCAATAATTGTACTGAGTTTGATACAAATTGATAAATCGGTTACCGAGATATACATATAGTGAACCAAATAAAAACTGAGACGGGAAATTTTAGTAAGTTTTGCCCATTTTTCTTAGATTATTTAATGTTCGTAATTTTTTTTTATGAAAGTATAGCTGATTACTTTTACCTAACAAACACGATATAAAAACCAAATTTCAGACTTTGTGCAAAAACTCTGAAACTTCTGCAAAGTTTCACCAAAATTTCTAACTTCTTGATCAGCCTCTTTAGACAAAATTTTTGTATTCAGTTTTGTAACCCATTAATATGTATATACTCTGTAATTTTAAATTATTTAAACAGATATTGCAAAGTTTATAGTACTTAAATATAAAATTTCTCCTTTTTATATCCGCCATAGCAATCCAATATCACTTATCGTGTACCTCGGACAGTCAATGTAGTCCGTTCGGCGCCGCATATTGTCCCACGCAAATACCTCGACGTTGCACCTGCGATGAATATGCGGAGTATGATGAATTGCGGCAGCTGTGCGTCTACAAGCAGGGACTAGGCGAATATTGTGAGTCGAATGATGCCTGCGGGACGGTGGCCAATGCGGTCTGTACGAATAATTACTGTGCTTGCAAGGATAACTTCTTTGTGCAGAATAATACATGTCTACCAGGTAAATGAGCTTTAGCGATCAAGCTCAAGGAATGAAAAAATAATAATGCTGAAAAAATAATTTCCTAGGTATTGGTGCCGATTGTGAAACGGACGTCGAATGTGGTGGGGTAGATAATTCAGTTTGTGATCTCACCTCACCGACAAGTGAGGAAAAAGACAAGGCTTGTCAATGTAAAAAGGGATATGTACACTTTAAGGATGAGTGCCTAAAGGAAGGTGAGTTTACTTAATGCAAAATTGCTTCATTTCAATAAACTTGAATTAAATTACTTGCAGCTGAGGAACTAGATGATGAGTGCATTGAAACGGAGCAATGCACACCATTGTTGGGTACCTGCATCGATAAGAAATGTTCCTGCACGTCCGAACAACACATTAAATCTGGTCGTTGTGAAGAAAAGAAAGGTAGAATTTCTTGCTTTCTTCTTAATATTCTCTAATTTTTGTTTCGTTTTCAGTCCTGGGTGATGCCTGCGCACGGTCCACTCAATGTTTTGTCGAAAAGGAGCCAGAAAATGTTGAATGTCGCAACTCGGTTTGCCAATGCAAATTTAGTTACCAAGAGGACGAAGAAAAGAAGACTTGTATACGTGTGGTATCCAGTACCAAAAGTAAGTGATAAATGGAGTGAGATTTTCGTAGAACGTCTAACATTTAATTGAGAGCTTAAAATATCATGTTGCGTACTATATTCCAAATATAACATCGGGCGGGTATTTAGATTTAAAAAGCATCATATTTTAACAGGGCGTCATCACCATAAAGCCTATTTCAATGCGCACTCATTAAGAATGAGAAAAACGGTAGAATATCTATATATATATGTAGGTCTGATCCGTCGTAGGAAATTAAACTGGATAAATCCTATAACTCTGGTAACCAACTAAGCATAGGAATAATTCTCTAACTTTCCCTCACTTGGTCTTTCCTCCGCAGTGTGGACGTCCCTCCCTGGAGCGTCGGTGTATTTTAATTCGCTGTCCTGTGTCAGTGTCATTGTAAAGCTCATAGAGCACATGATTCCATCGCCTGCGGTACTCGCCGCCGCCTGTGCGTAGAGGTCCGTAAATCTTCTCCAAGAGCCGCGTCATCGGATTTTGTCATTCTCCATGCTTCTGCGCCATATACCAGTACAGGCAGAGAGTCGTTTTAGTCGAATGCGCTGACTGTTTGTTTGATGACAGGAGATACTTCGTATTTCCTCATTTACCAACAGACCCATTCGCTTTGCTTCCTCATCCAACTTCGAAAAGGCAAAACTGACTTCGCGACCGATGATGTCGATGTCATCGCCAACAATTGCACGCTTTTTTAAAAAATTTTCTCTGAGCGGTTCTGTTCTGTAGCTTTCAAATCATATCCAAGATCATATTAAAGAAATCACATGTAAGAAAGTGGCCTCGTCTGAAAGCCCGTTTGGTAGCAAACAACTGGGAAAGGTCTTTCCCAATTCTGACAGTTCTGATCGTATTGTTCAACGTCATTTTACCCAGCCGTATCAGTTTCACAGGGATGCCAAATTCAGACATCGCGGCTTATAGGCAACTGCTTTTAGAGCTGTCGAAAGCTGTTGAAGTCGACAAATATATGTTGATTGTCGATACTTTTCTCGCTCGTCTTTTCCAAGAATTAGCGTATTGTAAATACTTGATCTATGTTGGATTTTTCAGAGCCATACCGATAAGCCCCATTCAGTTCGTTGACGGTGGAATTCAGTCTTTCACACAATACGCTCGAGAAGACCTTGTAACCGATGCTTAGAAAGGTGATCCCGCGGTAGTTGGCGCGAATGGCGCGGTCGGCTTCCTTGTGGATTGGACAGGGCATACTTAAATTCAAGCCGTCTGTTATGCGTTCATCTGATCATATTCTGCATAAGATTTCTCGCATGAACTCTATCTTCTCCTTGCCGCCGTACTTGAATAGCTCGGCTGGCAGGCCGTCAGCTCCGGCTGCTTTGTGGTTTTTCAGCCGCATAATCGCTATTCGTACCTCGTCCTAGTCAGGTGGTGGAACGTCAACTCCGTCGTTATCGGCTATGGAATCGTGTTCGTCTTGTCCACTACTTTCAGTGGTGCTGCCATTCAGTAGGGTTCACCCCATAATTTAAGTATGTTCTGGACGTCTCGCTTCCCTCTTCAATTCGCTATGCTGGTCCCACATACCTAGCGTTGCGCCCGATCGTAGCGTGGCCTGCAGGCGGCATATTTGTTTCTGTAGCTTATTGACACTCCTCATCGTAGTAGTTGTTCTTTCGGGCTCGCTGAAATCCGATTAGTTCTTCGGCCGCGGCTCGTAATGAGCGGGAAATGTGGTTGTACTGCTTGTTGAAGAGTGCTCTTTGAAAGCAGGTATGGGAGTCGAGTGGCCGTCTGCGTTTATTGTACCTTTTTGACGTTGAGCTTTCCTTGCGCTGTAGAACGCATATTTTTTGCTACACAGAGGTCCTCGGAGTGTACGTTCGTCTTAAACACTGGAAGCGTGCTACTGTCTATTACAACATAGTCGATTTGGTTTCTTGTTTTTCGATCTGGAGACATCCAAGTAGCTTGATTAAAAGTTTATTATGAGTGCTAAGCGACGTCAGCAGACTAGAATGAGTTAAAACAAAACATTTTTAAGCGACAAAAAGGGTGTTTTGTTTTAACTCATTCAAGTACCTTGATGTATCTTTTTATGCATGAACCTAATGCTGCATACTAACATGTTTCGAGCCCGGCGAAGTCGATCAGCCTCAGTCCGTTATCGGACGTTTCGGCACGGAGATTGAATTTTCCGACAGTGGCGCCAAAGTTCCCTTCCTTGCCCACCTTGGCATTGAAATCGCCAAGCACGGTTTTGATATCGTGCCGGGGGCAACACTCGAATGTACGCTCTAAGAGCTCATAGCATAATTCCCTGGGTGCCTCGTCCTTGTTTTCTGTCAGGTATGGGCGCAGATATGCGAGATGTTGAAGAATCTCGCCTTGATATGGATTGTGGTTAGACGTTCGTCAACCGGGGTGAACGACGGTATTCGGCGACGGAGCATCTCTCCCACCTCGAATCTAGCACCGAATTTGCGCCCGGTTAAATGACAGTTGTAGTATGTAGACGTCGCAAAGCCCCACGTGTTTCTTGACTTGCCCTGTCAAACGTTTTTAAACGTTTGCCCTGGTCGTCATAAAAAGGCGGAGGGGGTCTCATCCTAGGCTTTGTTTTCAGTCTTCACCGGATGGGGTTTTTATGTAGCGGGTCACCCAGCACACAACCCATTGTTGAGACGAGGATGGTTTCTTAACTGAATACTCGTTTACATAGTGAGCCTCTTGCTCCAAAACAAAGGACCTACTGCGGAATAGACGTTGTAGACTTCAGTGATCCCTTAAAGCGAAGTCGGAGTGGCCCCACCGAAGCTTCCTATCTTTCTACCGTGATCCACGGCTCCTCCACTCGGATACTTTACTGCAACTCGGATATTGCAAAACTGTAACTGCATATATATATGAAAAGGATTTCACATATACGAAGATATGCCAATGCTTAAGCAGCAAACAGATGAAAGCATGCATTTCATTTGATACTCATTTATCTATATATTAATACACTAACATAAATTTTGTCTCCGTTCGTTTGGCGATTCTACCGAACCGATTTCAAAACCAAGAACACCATTGGAAAGGCATTTATTTTATGGTTTCACAATTGGTTGAAAATTACGGCCAAAACCGTGTGTATAAATGTTGCTGCAACATGTTCAATTTGACATGTTTCGCATCTTGTTTCACTTCACATTTGAAATTAAGCTTTGAAATAAAGATAAATATGAAGATGAAGAAATAAATGATAACGATGAAGTCAAGAAAAAAGAAGGCAAAAGTGAAGATAAAGACGAAAATGGAGACAATGACAGATACATAAGAATTAGGGTAACTGAAAGGGTAAGAAAATTTCTTGAATTTATGAAGTGAAACTTCTTTAGCGGCAGTTGGTTAGTTTTGAGTAAATTGCCAAGTTCAAAGGGAATAATCCACATGGCAATGGTTCTCAGCGGTTTAGCGGTTTGAGAATAAAAACAAAAACAAAGATGCCTAAATATACAGGCAAAAACGAAGATCAAGATAAATTTAAACCAGGGACGTGAACCGGTTTTGAACCGAACCGGTTTTTAACCGGAAAACCACTTTTTTCTATTAATTAACTGAACCATGAACCGAACCGAAATTTTCCACAAATGTTTGATCCGAACCGAAAACCGAACCACTTTCCATAAAGGTTTGAAGGTTCGTTTCAACCATGTTTTAATAGATAAATGTACCCACTTTTTTTCTTTTTGTTAAGCATGGTAATACCTAGCATGTAACAGAAGACAGAAGAAATACGTTTATAATAAAATTTTGGAAAATGGGCGTGGCACCGCCCACTTATGATCACATATATGTATCTCGGTAACCGGTCTACCAATTTATACCAAACTCGGTATGGCTATTGTGCTTGCCAAATAAAAGCAAAACGTTGAAAATTATTGAAATCAGACTTGAGGCCGCTTTTCATATAACGGTAAATTTCAGAAATGCTTGAAACTTCAATATTTCGAAATTTAAGGACGCTAAATTACTCAAAATTGATATACCCCGGCTTACCATGTTGTGGTGGCTTTCGGAAAGGTGAAAATCATATATTTAATACTTGCGCCGAGTATTTAATGTTCGGCTCCGCCCGAACTTAGACTTTGTTACTTGTTTGTTTTTCGAACCGTTGAACCGAACCGAAACCACGGTTCAAAGACCAAAAAACCCGCTTTGACGAACCAATCCAAAAGTGCAAAAACGGTTCGAACCGCTGAACCGAACCGACACAATTTTTCATCCGGTTCACGTCCCTGATTTAAACACTTTAAGGTAAAGGTGAAAGGAATATGCAAAAATAAAGATAAATATGAAGAAAAGGATGAGGATGTAGATCGATATTGTTATCGATTAAAAACTCGATATTTTTATCGAAATAATAATCGATATTGCTATCGATAAAATAATCGATATTGTTATTGATTAAATAACCGCTATTGTAATCGATGTAATAATCAATATAATAATCGATATTGTTATCGATACAATAATGGATATTGTTATCGGTATAATAATCGATTAAATAATTGATTTTGTTATCGATTTAGTCATTTATATTGCTAACGATATGTACAATAATCGATACTGATGATTGTTATATTTATCGATGAATTAATCGATTTTACAATCGTTGTATTTTTCTATATGTTTATGGATATTGTTATCGGTATTTTTATCGACACAGTTATCAACAGGGTTATCGATATACTAATCGGAACATGGAATGTGATCACATTACATGACATCACATCACATTTTATCACATGATATGAAGAGACATCACATGATATTACATC